TGGGGGGGGGGGGGGGGGGGCGGAGCTATACCCATCCGTATGCTGTCATGTATTGGCGTCAGGAATTGGAATACGACCAATAGGTAAGTATTCAATTTTCCGTTTTCCTGACACCAAACAGGGCAGTATACTGATGGGGGGGAGCTATACCCATCCCTATGCTGCCATGTATTGGCGTCAGGAAAATAAAATTTTCCGTTTTCTTGTCAATTGAGGGGCACAGGAAGTCTTAAACCTTCAGGTTATACTTCTGGATGCTAGCAAGCCAAAAAAAAAAATGTAGGCCAGCCAAAGTTATACCCTCCCCAACTACCACCATGCCTCTATTTTTTGCCAGTGTCCTAAGAGGTTGGACGCCTTTTCGTCATTGCTGTTGCAAAGACTAACCTTTAAATTCTTTCTAGCAATTTGTTTTCTCTTTTTCAATTAAGATTTTACTACTTTGACTGCTGCTAGTGGTTTTAGTTACAGACTTGCAGCTGTCTGCCGTGGTCATCACCAGCCTGGCTTTTGGACTGCATCTCGACTGGACCCCACTGGACTGGACGATTGATAGGTGAGCCTGGGACTGGGAGCAACCTTTAGGGTGCTTTTGTAGTCTAGTTTTGGTTGTTAGCTGTGGAGCGCTCTCCAGGTCCAGAGTCACTGAGATTACCTGTGCCTTGTCCTGTATTTGAACACTCAGATATTTGCCATGGAAGGGGCTAACGCTGTGGGATAGAGCTTGCTCTGGGTGGAAGGTCGCTCTCTCTGACTGAATCACTCAAGCTCTTATTTGATGAGCTGGAGGTGTCTCCATCCACTGCTTTTTACTCCTATTGTCTGCCGCATACAATGCTGTTTTAACACATCTCTCTGGGTGGGTTAATAGCACCTGCTAGCTCCAAGTCATGCAAATGCAATTAACACCTTACCTCCATGAGGTCTCTTACCCCATGCTGGTTATGATGAACAGAATATGTTGACTGGAACAACATTCAACTTATTTATTCCCACACAATTTGATGTACATTTTGTACATCAAGTCATTCTGAATTGAGAAAGCTGGTCTGATGACCAGCGAAATGTTTTCAAAAAAGTTCAGTTGCCTTGATTAATTTTCTACAGATATTCCATGACCTGGATGAATGAGAACCTTCACACAGGGCTGTAGCTACCATGGGATGAGTGAGGCACTCGCCTCAGGCACAGCTGAGAGGGGACGCAGCCAGTGCCGGCCTGGCTGCATCCCCTTGCCTCTGTTGCCATGGCGAACACAGGGCGCCATTGGCAACAGGAGCGCCAGGCGGCCAACACAGCTGCGCCTCAGCAGGGAGAAGAGGAGCGATACAGGCTCCAGCTTTTGCTCGGATCCCCGCTGCTCTCCCCCACCTGTATGGGCAGAGGAATCTGTGTCTTCCACCTATTTTCCTATATTCAAAAGGGAAATGTCAGGGGTCTGTTTAGACCTCTGATATCTCCTCAAAGCCCCCCAACAGTAAAAAAAACAAAAAAAAAATGAACGAAAAGAAAATGTCAAACGAAACACATTTTTATACTATTTTGGATTTTGCCACCTACGCATTCTGTTCATGAGCAGACCATCCTGGAGGCGGGGCGCATGACGTCACATATCGCACACTTCTGACTGGGGGCACAATTTTTTGTTCTTGCCTCGGGAGCAAAAGGAGCTAGCTACGGTTCTGCCTTCACAGACATATTACTCCTAAGTTAGAAGAGACCTTTTTGGCTCTTATTGATGCGACATACACCACTCTAAAGTTAGAGGATCCTCCTGTTGATTTTACTAGTGCAATCTCTTATAGGACCCCCTAAGGCCACAAAGACCTTCCCTTTGTAGTCACTTCTTCAGGTGTTTCTTTACGAGGACTGGAAACACACAATAGGCTCCCCCTAAGACCTTGGAGTCCTTGGTACCCATTTGGTAAGGACTTTGTTGACAATTGTACACTTTAAGGATTGTGTTTGGCTTATTGGGGGCCTGCACTCTACATGGGACATGAATTTCCAGAAAGGGTGGAGGGATAAGGGGGAACAAAATGACCTGGGTTGTCTGGTGTCAAATAAACCAAATCCTGCCTGGCTGTCATTTTGGTACTTTGATATAAACTACGCAATATCGCTTACCTATACCAGCACAGAGCTGCCACGAGGAGTCCAGACACAGCAGTGAGACTGCAGATCACAGTCAGAGCTACAGAAGGGGACAGAAACGAATGAGAGTACAGAGGTGCAAAAGAGAGGTAACAGGTTTGCTTGGCAGCATTTCTGACCTGGTAGAAACCTGTCTGGCAGGGGAGGAGACTTGTTCATTCTTTGCTGTAGTTAAATATCACTTACAGGTATTGTCCCTCCCCCAGTCTGTGATTGGACAGTGAAAGGAGAAGCAGCAGACTGCTTCTCCTCCCATCAGAAAGTCCCTTGTTAGCACATGAGCACTGCAGCACAAATTATTGGCTCCCTGTGCTGCTTCGCCCAGTCTGGGCTCTGATCTACAGTGGACTGCATGTAAATTCAGATTGTTACTGCTTGCATTTTTAAAAAATACACTTAATAGGGTATTATTGAACACAGAGCTGCATTAATTTGTGTTTTTTTATATAGACCTGGAGTTCACCTCTAAATTTTGATTTCTAATACAGGTCAACAAAATGCATCATTATTATGCTATTGGTCCTTGTAAGACGCACAGCCCCACCTCTGTTTTGTTTAATACAGGAGCTGTGATTTATTGTAACACCCCATCTGATAATATAAAGAGGTTGTATGGAGCAGACAATACCTAGTGACATGGACTGGTTCATCTCCGACTTCCTTCTCCTGCCCATGTTCCTCACTTTTAGCTGTGGCGCGAAAGTTGCGGCAGCTGGAGAGGGGCTTCTTGTCAGCGTGGCGTTATGGAGATTTGGGGGTTTCATCTCCTGAGATGTAGCCTGTGCTGAGGCAGCAGTGTTTGTTGTGGTGACAGAAACTACACAGAACGAGATAAAGAAGAAGACTTATTGTTACAGCTTTGCAGAATATATATAATATATATAAAAATTGAAGCTGACATAATGGAGGCATGTTGCACCAAGTTCAGTGCCTCCGGTAGGTTCCTATGGCCACTACTTTTCCTTAAAGTGTATGTAAACCTTAACAATTCTTTTATTTGCTCCCTTTTGGTCTGCTAAATATACAATTAAAAGTGTTTTGTTATATCTGTTCGATAAGAGCAAAAAATACCGCCAGAAATCTTGTGAGCTGATAACTTCCTGTGCTCTCTACCTGTGAACAGGGAGGGTTACGGGGATGAGGAGGAGGGGCTATAGCGGGGATGAGGAGGATGAGGTTATGGAGATGAGAAGGAGGGGATATTGAAATGAGGAGGAGGGGTTATGGAGATGAAAAAGAGAAGTTATGGAGGTAAAGAGGAGGGGATATGAGGAGGAGGGGTTATGGATATGAGAAAGAGAAGTTATGGAGGGGAAAAGGTGGGGATATGGAGATGAGGAGGAGGGGTTATGGAGATGAAAAAGAGAAGTTATGGAGGTGAAGAGGAGGGGATACGAAGATGAGGAGGAGGGGTTATGGATATGAGAAAGATAAGATATGGAGGTGAAGAGGTGGGGATATGGAGATGAGGAGGAGGGGTTATGGATATAAGAAAGAGAAGTTATGGACGTGAGAAGAAGGGAATATGGAGATGAGGAGGAGGGGTTATGGAGATGAGGAAGGTGGGGAGGTGATGAGGAGGGTTCTGTTTAATCCATCAGAAATGCAACAGACAGTGCTGGCAACATGTCCATTGGAATTCAGAGCCTAAATACAGTGTTTTCATGTCAAACAGGAAGGTATGTGCACACTATGGGGCCTGTTTCCAACTATTCACCCTGACAATCTCTTTGAACATTCATTCTATGTGAACATTCTTAGTGTATTTTCTTTTCAGGTCAAATGTAATATTCTGAATAAACCACATTATGGTTGCTAGATGGAGCTGATGAGCATAGGAAAGAAATACTGCTTTCTTATGCTCCTTAGCTCCAACTAGTGGCTATAATGTGGTATTTTCTCAATATTGTATTTGACCTGACAACATAATTTAAACAATGGTTGTTTTTGCCTCCATTTACACAAAACAAATTTTTACAGAGATTTGCAGGGCGCTTGGCTTTGCACATTTTTTATAAATAGACCCCTGAGCATTCATAAACTCTCTTATCCCATTATTTCACATACCGATGTCTGTGGATATTATTCTGTGGCCTTTGGTCAGCCTGTACTCCTGAATAATGTCGATCACGGAATCTGGTCCTGTGAACTTTGTTCTGCTGCCTGCCGGAAAAGCAAAATGTGAAACCTGACCATTCCTAGCTTCACAAATTCACGGCAATTGCATTATGAAAATCTCCATATCAAAAACTTTAAGCTTAAGGTGAACCTGACCTAGCTTATAGTGTATCTAACAACAACAGTTTGAAGTTCAGTCACCTTACAGGGCCTTCAGGTACAGAGGTTAGTTTTCAAATGGGTCACTGTGTTCCAGTGGAGCTCTCTTGGATCTTAGTCCCATACTGTATATGTGGCCCTAAAATGTGAAGATTTGCTGTGTTATAGGGAACATCTAGTACTGGTATTTGTACTTGAGCAGTATCAGGACAAAAAGGTACCTCTTGTCTGGAATTCCTCCTGGAACATGGAAGTGCATTTCCTGATATGTGAGGGTACCTAGGTACTACTGTGTCTACAGCCTAATAGCTGCATATCTGCAATGTGAGCTCTAAGGCACTGCTGCCCCTGAAAGCTAGTTGCAGGAAATAGGTGTAAGATTTGGTGATGTTACTATTGTGCTGCTCACTGTTCTCCTTGCTGGAGGCTCTGAAAGAGAAAGCAAAGCCCTGCCTCTACCAAGATGGCCACCTCCACAAAAAGAGACAAAAAGTGCAGAGCAATGCAAGTCAGTAATAGGAAAAGTTAGGGGGGCAGGGAGACCATAGGCAATACTGGTGGCTAGTCCATTGTCCTCTGCATGACTCTGTTTTGCTCAGCTTCCTCTTTATCTTCTTCAAGAAAAAACCCCAATTGAAGTCTTTCTATTATTATTGTTATGCAGTCGGGCTGCATAATAAGTAAAGAATATTACATTTTTATCTGTTAGGTCTTAAAACTGTAAGAAGATGCCCTATGCTGGCAGCATAATCGAGAGCCTGACCGCTGTGCTTACACTGAGAGCAGCAATCCGGGTCTTCAGAGGTCTGACACTCTCTGCAGAGTACTACCGTTAACAATGCAGCGTTGAGCAGTGTTGTTACCGAAGCACCAATCAGATCTCTAAGGCAATATTTGATTGGTTACTGTAATGTAGTAACTTTTGGTCCTGAAAGGCTTTCTGACTTTAGCAGTCGCCATTGTTTTGTTCTTGTTTAGAAATAAGCAGCAAGCCCATGCCCAGTGGAGTTTTTTCAGTTAGGGCCCATTCACAACATAGCATTGCGTTTATTGCACGATACAGTGTGATTAACACACGCTATTGTGTGTGTAAATCACACTGTATCATGCAATAAACACAATGCTATCTTGTGAATGGGCCCTAGCTGAAAAAACTCCACACTTAGCGTGTGAATGGAACCCCGAAACACCTCCAAGCCGCCATGTACTGCAACACAAGGCAACACTTGGTACCATAATACTGTGCATTGTTTAGTGGTGAAAAAAAGAAGTGCATGCATTATTTTTTGCACTGCTTTGCAGCGTACCTACTCTGCTAATTCCTGGTATTGTGTCAAGATACAACACCGGGAATAGCAAGGAGGGTGCATTCTGCACAAAATGCACCCTCTTGCTCCAAGACTAGTGGCGCCTAGCGGAACCACCGGCTTCTGCAAACGCAGGGGAAGGACCCCGGCGCTGTGTAAGGCTGTGCTGTAAAATGCCTGTCTGATGCAGACAAGCATTTAGGGCAGCCTTACGTAACACTGGGGTCATTCTCTGCACATGTGAAAGTCGATGGGTCCTGCAGCAGGTTAGGACATCGGCTCAGGCTAAACAGGATTTCCATTCCTACATACAGCCTTCCAAAATGGAAATCTGGCTCTGGACCCACTGTTAGAATTTCACCTGATTCCTGTGGATCGGGTGAAATTCTAACAGCTTTAAGGTGGCCATACACTTTACAACCCTCGCAAGACTTCAGCGAGGGTTGTAAAGTAATCAAAAAAACGTACGATCTGCCCATCTTGGACAGGCAGATCGTACTTGCGATCATCGCAAGCCCGCCCCGCTGTGCTGAACGGGCAGTGTGCGGCAGTTATCTCAGCATCATGATTCAAACCAGCCGAAAATTGTACGATTCTCGGATGGTTTTCGAACATGCTCGAAATATTAAAGTCGTGTGACCGTACAGTAGAAACGGTCGCACGCCTTCCATACACTGCATGATTATCATACGATCCAGGATTTTCCGCGATTATCGTACGATAATCGTGCAATGTATGAGCACCTTAAGATACAACCTATCCATTACTAATCAAGCTTACCTTTAAATATACAACGCCCAGTCTGTGTCTCCTCATACAGGTGTCTGCAGGGGCCACAAACTATACTGCCCGGGGTACACGGCTCTCTCATCAGCAAGACGCAGTCCAGTTTACTTGGACAACGACTGTCCACTGTATGGAAATAAGGAAGATATTAGAAGATAAAAGGTGTCATCTCTGAGTGACCAGGTGGCGCTGATCCTGACTTTATATGAAAAGGTATGTCAAGGCAATTTGTCCCTGAAGACCCTCCAAGTACAGGAAAATAACTGTTCATCTGATCTTGAATATGGGTGTAACATGGTCAGAAAGGTAAACGTAGCCTTTAAAAAGATGGCAGCTGTTTATGATATAAAGCAAACTAAATTTTATTCAGTTTAAAATCTACTTTAATTAATTAGAAAATCGTATAGATTATACATTGCAGTTGCTGCTAGCAACCAATGATAATTCTGCATGGATCTCTAGCAGAAGTTCACTCTCCAGGTTAGCAACAATGGTTCTCATTTCTCATTGTGTGTTCAGACAAATTGTGTTGTCATAGCAACCAGATCCTTTCTCTCTAATACTCTACAAGGACAATGAAACAAGGGAGCCTATTTGTTGCCAATGGCGACAAGGCAAAAAACAGGGAAATGTGAATATAGAGATGGGTTGTCTGTTTTGCCGGGGATAATGGATTTTGTTTCTAGGGCAGATTAAATATTTGAGGATAGATCAAAGGAGGATATGTGCGGGCCGGTGACGAAGCCTTTTCACAGCTGGCTGCAAGCAATTTGCATTCATGCAAACGTGAGGTATGAGACGATTCCCGAAAATGGGACATATTTCAGCACATTGACATCGTACTTAAGGCCTATTAAGGGTCTGAACATTTTGGATGGTTCCATCACAATCATTCTTTTTCAGCAAAAATTGGAACTACACACGTGCTGCAAAGCTGATCTCTGGGCAAAAAGCTAAATACACAGATGACAGACATACAGTATAAGAGAGCTGTTCTATATGCCAAAAGATTTGTATTTCTGATCTCCGCTGCAGTTTAAGTAATATAACTAAGTCTCATCCTTGTGATAGGCCTGTTAAGGAGAAGCAGGAGGCTGATGAGCTCATCTCTCTGTCACTCTACTCTCGTCTTCTATCAGCATGCCCCTTTTTGCACTGAGCACTGTAGCACAGCTGATGGCAGTGGGCTGAACAAGAAAAATGCTGACCCCCCTCCCCGTCAGCAGTGGCGTCATAAGGGGGTTGCGGCCCGCACCCAGGTGACACCATTGCAGGGGTGACACCAAAATGACTGACAGTCATTTTGGTGTCACCCCTCTAAAAAGTCGGGCACTCGGTCATGGACCGAGAGCCCAAAAGTATCAGGAGGGGACCCGGCAGCATACCTCATCAAAACAGTCATTTTGGTGTCACCCCTCTAAAAAGTCGGGCACTCGGTCATGGACCGAGAGCCCAAAAGTATCAGGAGGGGACCCGGCAGCATACCTCATCCCGCCGGGTGAACGTCCCCTCCTCTCTCTCTGCTGAGAGTTCGTCGGGTGCGGACATGGCGGGGGGCAGCATGGATTTTTTCTTCCGTTGAGACGGCGAGCATTGTGATTGACAGGGATCTACATCACAATGCATACTAATAAAGGACTTTACAAACCGGTGTAGTGTGTTTATTTACTATTTTACTGTTTATTAGGTGAAATAGGGGTAACAACTACCCCTTAGTCATTCACGAGGGGGGAAGGCAGCATCTGAGTACCCCCTTCATTAAAGGGGACACCCAGATTCAGGTAAGCCCCCCTAACCGCAGACCCCAACAACCACCAGGCCAGGGTAGCAGGAAAGGGGCCCTTGTTCTCATCACCATGGGGACAAGGTGCTTTGCCAGGGGGTGTCCCCGGCAAAGCATGCTCCCCGCTCCCCATGTTAAGGGCATGTGCCCTGGTATGGTGCAGGGGGGAGTGCACAATCTCCCCTTTCCTGGTCTGCCAGGCTGCTACTTGGATCAAGGGTATGGTAAGGGATTTTAAGGGGACCCCGTGCATTTTTTTTTTTGGCATGGAGTCCCCCTTAAAATTCCTTTCAGACCCTTGGGGGGGACCCTATGCCATTTTTCTTTTTTTTTTTTTTTTAATTTTCAACTTTAAAAACAACCTAAACTCCAAATAGATTTGAATAGATCCAAATTCCAAAAGCGAAAACTTCGCATCGATCCAAGTTCCGAAAATATCGAACGGATCCGAATTTCAGAAAATGGAGAAAAACAAATAGAAATTAAACAAAAACTAAACAAAATTTTCAGCCGTGCTCAAGTCTACCATGACCTCTGGGAATCATGCCTGTAATTGCCAAAGTCTCGCAATGCCTCATGGGAATTGTAGTTCCACAACAGCTGGAGGGCAGAAGTTGTCCACCCCTTGTCTATTTGGATTGCAGTTGCCATGGTGCTGCACATGTGCTCAGCTATGACCTGAGCCATATAAGAGCTTTAAAGTTTGGTTGAGAGCTGAAATAAGCACACTGGCAACCTTGCCAGTTGGCACGCCTTAAAAGTAACTGTTTTGGGAGACATTAAACTGGTGGGCAAAGACTGGCAAGCTGCAATCTATTATAATTTTTTTTTTGTATAAGCTTTAATTATTTTTCTTCAAACATATACTAGGAATATGAGACTCTCAATGTAGGGTGGGGCCCAGCCTATCTCACCCTTGCTGGGCGCTCCTCCGCCCACGGCAAAAAAAGCATCCAGTGCCTTCCTCTGGAGGCGCCTAGAATTACATTATTCTCGACCAGCCTGGTTTACCGTAATTACCGTCTGTTTCCAGCGCACAATTTCCAATTAAATAAACCTGCCCTTGACTATAAATGATGTCACAAAAGGCCGAGCCATGTTGGGATGAACTTATCACATGTCCTTGTTATCCACAATGACAAGAAGCTTTTTACGTCATCGGAAATTTATTTCTGCAAGAGCCACCTTGGGTTTCCATGGAGCTTGACCGCCCGCCCGCCCATGCTGATACAAGCCGCACGCAACACAAGCCGGTTTAATAACATAACACATGCAAGCAAAAAAATGGACTTTAACTTATTAGATTCTGCATGAATGACATGTTTGCGTTTCCTTGGCAACAGAGTCTGGATACAGGAAATAGAGAGCAGGGTTAGAAGAAGATGAGGAGGGGATGGCGAGAGAGAGAAAGAGAAGAAGAGACAGCAAACAGGTACCCCACACCCGGATCATTATAAAATACCATCTTACCTGTCGCCGCCACAAGAAGGACGAGGACGCCAACGACCACCATCCTGTCTTTCGCATTAAAACGACCCCCGTCCTTAGCACACTAAATCCGATGCAGACGTTGCATCAATGATCCATTGACATTAACCGGCGGCTGTCCAGTACTACGACCCCAAAGTCACCCAGCTATGCTGATCGACTTACATTTCCGATGCCCGCTAAAAATATGCGTGCCAACATTATGCGGAGGATTTGGATATCAAATCTGCAAAATTTGCAATAAAATCTAATTAGCTAAGAACGGCATTGCGTGCGTCTGAGCAAATAGAGGTCTACTGTGATTGCTTATCTGCAAATGGTAACTGCAGATGCTAAAATGATTAAGTGTATTGGGTCATGAAGATTGCAAACAAATGGGAGCGCCAATCACAGCGACGAAAGAGGGCACGCAAGCCAAGATCACTTTTTCTACGTCTACTTTGCCTAAATTGTTGACTTTTTTTTGTTTGTTTTTGGTTGGTAAGTAAGTGCTCTGCGTGTGTCTTAATGGGTGTCTGATTTTGTTGTGTGCCCCCTGAGTAGTTTTCTCATCCTCCCCTATGTATGTGCATGTGTGGATGATGCTCTGTGTTGCGGTCCTGTTGAGGTATGTTTGTGTATCTCAGTCTCTGCGCACTGCTCTGGCTTTTATGAATGGAGGAGTGCGTGGGAGGGTGCTGTGTGTCTGTGTGCACAGAGACTTGTGTCATCCAACAGGCAGGCCAATAGGAGAGCCGTAGATAAGACTGTACAGACCTGAGTCCTCAGGTGGGGGCTCTGTGATCAGCTTTGTTAACTGCTGACAAGGATGTTAAACACTGCGAGAACAGAAATACATAAATAGAATTTAAACGCGTCGAAATGTTTTGTTTTTTTTCCGTTTCGGATAATTAGAGTAATGGAAGACTAGAAGGGGCAAGAAATAGAGTTTAGTACAATGTTGACAGTTTAAAAATACATTTAATCTTGGGCTGGCGCTGTAGCTTTTAGGGCCCATTTACACCATTTGCAGTGCGTTCCAGAACGGCAGCTGCTGGAACGCACAGCAATCGCTCACAAAACTTCCCCCTTCGTTCTGGGGCGGGAGCGGGCGTGGTGGTGCATTGAAGTAAATTCTGCATGCTCTATTTTTTGCGCTTGCAGTGGACTGGAACGCAGGCAATGTTTTGCCATGCGTCTGATCGCACTGCGGGCAGGGGGGTGTGGTTGCGGTGACATTGACTTCAATGCACCGCCAAACCCCCCCACCCCCCGCCCCAGAACGAAGTGGGAAGTTTTGTGAGGGATTGCTGTTCGTTCCAGTAGCTGCCTCTCTGGAACACACCACAATTGGTGTGAATGGGCCCTTAGCGCGGGGATCCCCTCATTTACCCCCTCTGCTCCGGCTGGGGAAATGTCCCCCCGGTGTCCACATGTCTAATGCAGGTCTACGAACCCTGCATTAGACGTGATGACGTTAGCACTCAGACCACCAGAGCCCAGGGGAGAAGAGGCTGTGGGGAGCCGTCTATCAACCCGGGGGGAGCCGGCAGGAACAGGGTTCAGGTAAGTAAATCTGCTTTACTCCAGCCCTTAGCCAAAAATGAGCACTTAACCCTTGCAGTGCCAGGATATTTTTTTGTTTGCCCAGAGATGGGCTTTAAGAGGTCTATTTATCAATGTTTTCTCCCATGTTTCCAATGGAATCGTGCATCAAAATCTCCTTGGGGGGAATTTATCAAAACTGAAGCAGACAAAATCTGGAGCAGATTTGCATTGCAACCAATCAGATTCTAGCTCTCATTTTCAAACCCCAACTGAGCAAACTGAAGAGAGAAGCTGATTGGTTGCCATGGACAACTGCTCCAGTTTCTGCCTGCTCCAGTTTTGATAAATTCCCCCCATTGTGTCTGTAGATCTTGAAGAGTCTGCAGATGAGGTGTGAGTACCTCGAAGCAGGACTTTCCTTTAGCATCGGACCTATAGATCGGATGTATGTGTATACAGCAGAGCGATTGAAAGGCAGGAATAATGCACTAATGATGACAAGAAGGCCAATGTTGTGCTGTCAGTAAAGAATAGAGTTGCGCTGGATGTGAGCGGACTCGGGGTGAATCATTCCATGCACTGAAAGCTCCATATAATACAGTAGCTGCGGATGCCATGGACACTTATTACTAACTGTTGATGGACACCGCATGACATTATTGTATAATAGAGAACGCATGCTGAATTAGACAATTACACTCTCTATTCTTAGACACAAAGTAGCATCCTTTTCACCAATGACTACAGCCGCCTGCAATCATTAGATGGGAGTCTGCACAATGTTATCACTGACAGATCTTTTGTACATTCTTTTTTTACAAATATCCACCTTTGGATCTGTCTAGCAGGAGGAAGAGGACACAAATAGGCTTGTGTGTACGGGTAATGACAAATAGAAAATAAGTGTTTTTGGATTTTTAAAAATCTTTAGGGTTGGATGAATCATTTTAAGAAGAACTCCAAGAAAATCAAATACTTACCCTCGCAGTGGGGTATTGCAAGGGTTAAGTGCATGTTTTGCCTGTGGGGCTCAAATAAACTATTATACCTACCTGATCCTCAGTCCTGTGGCGGTCAGTGCTCACCTCTTTTTGTACTACTACTCTTTTTGTACTATCGGTATTTTGCCCATAGTACCATTATTGGCCAATATGTTTCGGCACCCAAAATTTCAGTGCATTCCTATTAATAATAGGCTACAACAATTCTCTCTATCCTACGCAGTGGCAATACCCATCACCTAATGTGACAGAATCAAAACACCAAAATGTTTACCTCTTTGCCTATATCAAAATAATTGAATATCTTCAGAATGGAAACCAAGGACCTAACCACCCACCTTTTCTTCCATCGAAACCGGAACACTCTAGCAATGCACTGAAATTTTTGGGGGAGAATGAGTCGCAGCTTATTCATATGTAAATCGTTCCACCCACTCATATGTGAATATCACAGCCGAGAATATTTTCACTGGGGGGGCGGTAGCCACTATCTTGGTTATTTTGGTTTCCCCTGTCTGCCTGACATCTTGTGTCCGGGTTTCAGCTGCCATGAAACCCGGACACAACATTAAAAACCCGGACTGTCCGGGTGAATCCTGGACAGGTGGCAACCCTAACCTAGCCCAATAGGTTAGATAGGAAGCCCCATAACTATGTCAGATCAGCAACAGCTTTCTCCAAGGTTTCTCCCACAAGTATACACTTCGGAGGACATTTGTCAAAGTGTTTGCGACTTTTTTCTTCAAAAATGATGCTAAAGAAATGCAATTGAACTTGACCGCTTTTGTGATAATCTTCCATTACTAAGTCCGACAGACTTTTGTATCCATAATTATACATAGAATAGTCGCAATCTTGAGAAGCTTTTCTGAGGACTTCTTAATATAGTGCAGTGCAAATAATGCACCATTCTGCTTCTCATCTGCCTGCATGTCTATCCCCCCTTGTCATATTGCTATTCTCTCTTACCAACTCTTAATGGTCTGCTTCCTGTCCCCCCAACATTTCCCCCAATATTAAGAAAGCAGTTTTCCTGGTCATGACTCCCAGCATTCATAACACACCTTCCACCTCCTCATGTATTATTTCCCCTCCTCTTTTAGTTTATAAGCCCTCAGGGGCAGGGCCCTCCTTACCATCTTTTCTTGAATTGTATTGCAATTGTAATGTCTACCTTATATTGTAAAGCGCTGCGCAAACTGTTGGCGCTATATAAATCCTGTATAATAATAATAATCCCTTCCATGCAGAACACTTTTCCCCTATCAATCTCTCTCTCCTATCATGCAAAAATAACACATCATCTTGGCTCCCCCACCTTCCTTAGACAGGATGCACCTTTCCTTACACCTCCCCATTCCCAGACATAACTCATTTCTCATAGCCATCTACACCGTCCTTTACACAATGCACCTCTCTTGTTGAAAGATCTGTGAAAGGGTGGTGCAGTTGTGTGGGTGGAACCATGCTCAGCTGTGCCATTTAAAAAAAATCAGAGCAGCCTGTGGGGGAGAAGAACCCTACAATTCAGGTGAGAGGGGGGGGGGGTTTGTTACACTCTGAATATGAATGCAACATGGTTAAAGCCTTTAAATGATATAAATCAGTCTTCTTTGCTTTTCAGCCCCTGTCAAATTTAGGTTGGTCTCAACTTTCATGTATATACTGTATATAACTGCACCCATAATAAGATGTCTTTCATATTGCATATCATATGCATTTCCTTAAGAACTTCTTAGTTCAGTGGTGATGCCAATTAGGGATGCACCTATACTGGTATTTCGGAGTATCGATATTTATCTTTTAATACTCGCCAACACCGAGTACTGGTACTTTTTCTAACATGGAGCCGGCTTCTGGAGCAATCGAGAAGCCGGACGGCAGGTAATAACACGTCGCCTGGCTTCCTGATTGCCAGGGAAACAGGCTCCATGCTGTGTGGCTGGCTCGATGCTAATCGGCCGGGAAGCTGGCTTTCCAGCCAATCAGCATCGAGCCGGCCAAACAGCACGAGGACGGCTCTCCAGTCCGTTCCGCAAGTCAGAGCGGGGAGGGGGGAACCCCTGCAGGGAGCTTTGAGTGACAGTCGCGGCTCTCTGCAGGGAGATGATCGAGAAGTGAGCGAACGACGGTATTTGTACGCTCACTTCCCGATCTATTGCGCCGACGTGTGATAGTCTCATTGTCACACGTCGGCTCGAACTATGAGGTTGAGTTAAAATCACTCACCTCATAGTTCTCCTCTAAGTGTTACGGCTGCATTCATTTTCTTTTTTTTCTGTAGGTCTGACTTATACAGCCATATAACATTCACGCAGGATAATGCTGGCAGCAAGATCCTGCATAAAAAGTGGTCCATACTGTATTTTAAGTCATACAGACGTACACAGGCTTATGTTAAGTCATTCCGTGCATTCCCCACCGCCCCTGCTTACACTGATATTTATATCTCGCCCTGGATGCATTATTCATGTGGCAGCACTGAATGCGCTGAATGATCCAATAATAAGGTCCATTTATGCTGTATGCATGTTTCCACACACATTTACATGTGCACAGTGTAGAATATAATCAAAGTTGGACCGCGCATGCAGAATTTACTTGTTATGGCTTATGCAGCTACACACTAAGAACCAAAACAGTATGAATTGGCCCAATTAATTACGGATCGAAACCAGGGGCATCCCGAGGCCGGGTGTCACCCGGAGCAGAGACCAGGTGACACCCCGTCGGGACATCATCGCCCATGCGCGAGATGTCACTACGCACATGCGCTATGACATCATTGTGCATGCGCGGCCATCTAATTGACGCCTGCCGGCGGCCGTCTTGGTAATGGTCGCCGGCAGAGAGAGAAGGGGACGTTCACCCGGCGGGATGAAGTATGGCGCCGGGTCCCCTCCTCTCTCCTGACACTGTCAGGCTCTCCGCGCATGACCGAGTGCCCGACTTTTTAGAGGGGGTGACACCAAAATGACTGTCAGTCATTTTGGTGTCACCCCTCCAATGGTGTCACCCTGGTGACGCCACTGGTATGAATGCAGCATATTGTACACTTGTGTGCATGAGCCCTTATTCTTACTCACTGCACGGTCTCCATGGAGGAGCAGTGTTCTCACCACAGGAAAGGAAGTGAAGTGTGTCAGGACTACAGAACTCCTCCCCCTTTCCATTACATAAAGAGGAGGTTTTTGGTAGCTCACAGAGGTAACCTGGGAAGGGCTGATAACACTGCAGAGTGCACTGGATTTCGGGCAGAACTTTTATGTTAATATAACATAATTTCTGATGGTATAGACCTGGGTTAGGCAACCTCGACACTCCAGATGTTGGGGAACTACAAGTCCCGTGAGACATTGCAAGACTCTGACAGCCACAGGCATGACTCCAAAAGGCAAAGGCTTGATGAGATTTGTAGTTTTAGTTCAGGTAGGGGGCTGAGGTTAACTACCCTTGATATAGACCACATATGTTAATTACAAGGCCCGCTACAAGATTCTCTTAGGCCCGCTAGTCCTGAGCTGTGTACCAACAAGCAGGGTCCATTTTTATTTTTTCACTAGCCGGCGCTTGGAGTGGCAATTCAGCCGGCCACTCTCTAAGGACCCCACACCTCCACGTTTCAGCACCTTCCTCTTCTCGCCGGCATGTATGCCCTCGGCCACACCTCCCTCCTGGGCCGCAAGTGTCTCATCGCCAGCACATACCTCTGCCTCAGCAGTTCGTGGTAAGTCCCGCTGTGCGTATCCGGGACTGACTGACAGGAGTGTCATATAATGGACAGGGACTGCTGACACTTGTAGTGCCCTCAGACGGGACTGTCATATGATGATATGGCTATCCTGGTGTCCTGTGTGTGAGATCACTAAAAGTGTCAGCAGTCCCTGTCCAATATATGACAGTCTTGTGTGTGAGGGCACATTACATGGACAGGGACTGGTATCACTTGTAGTGCCCTCACACACAGGATTGACATATAATGGACAGGGACTGCTGACACTTGTAGTGATCTCACACACAGGACATTAGGACTGTCATATAAAGAAGATATGACTGTCCTGTGTGTGAGAAATTTGACACCCCTGATATAGACGAAAAGAGAGCATATAAGTGTATTGTAAGAGTTTTTCACTTCAGCTTCATCCGATACATTAATCCCAATTTTAAATAAAATAGGGAAATGTTAATACATCTTCCAGGATCTTACTGCTGCCTGGGACCGCACTGGGCTGATTTCCTCCCACTTATTCCAGTGACACCGGGCTTAGAAATGATAGCAACGGGGACACTGGCACACTACATCGCAGACAGCAGTAAAAACTAACAAAAGGTGTTATAAATTGCTTATTTATAGAGATATACTCATTTTGTTGCTCTCCCTACAGGAGACATTTCCCATCACTTCAACAAGTGAGAGGAAAACCACAAACAGTGACATATATAGCAATAAAATACTAACAAGGTATTTGTCCAGTCCCCCCTCTGACCTAAGCTGAAAACTTTTGCTGTATTGAACATTATAAGCTCTTTGTACAAACAACGCATGAAAGGTTAGATGTATTTTATAACATTTTATTAGAACAAAAACGTAAAACATTTACGGAAACACTTTCAACCATGTGTGCTATCTTCTTGTTCATGCACAAATAAGACAACAAAACAGAAAGAACAGTAAAAAAAAAATAAACTGGTAAGAAATATTTAACTGAGAAATGTCTTTGAATTCAAGTCAACAGTATTTTGTTTATACTGCAGGTTTAACGAACCATAGTGCAGTAACAGTCCAGTCTTACAGTAACAGAGTGACTTTTAATCCACTTCCTCAATGGTAGGTCCGGAGCTGCTGCCTGGAGCACCACAGCCTGAACCTGGCATACCTTCTGGCATGCCACCCTGGTACAGCTTGGTAATGATGGGTTGGCACACCTTCTCCAGTTCCTTTTGCTACGAAAGGCCAGTGCTTCATGTCAGACTGCACCACGTGATCATCAAAGTGCCTGCCAATCAGCCTCTTGGCGTCAAAGACGGTGTTCTGGGGGTTAAGAGCCACCTGGTTCTTAGCAGCATCTCCGACCAGCCTCTCTGTGTCAGTAAAGGCCACGTAGCTGGGGGTGGTGCGGTTCCCCTGGTCGTTGGCGATTATCTCCACCTTGCCATGCTGGAAAACCCCCACACAGGAGTAGGTGGTGCCCAGGTCAATGCCGATGGCCACACCTTTCGATGCCATGTTGTCAGACGGAAGTATCAGTGGAGTCTTGCAGTGAGGTAGCCGGGATGGAGGATTCTTTCTGCTGTATTTTTCTCAGTGATCGGAGGTAGCAGCCTGTGTTACATTCGCTGTATAGCCGCTGTGCTCGCTCTCTCCAAACGTCACCCGTCAGTGTAGAGTAGATAATAACTATCGCCCCAGTATACGAAGCCTATATATATTCGCCTCCCGTGTGGTTACGTCACGCCACCTCCAACCAATCGCAAAGCTGTCCTCGCTATGTTGTTTTCGTCACTTAGCAACATTCCCGAAGCTTCCGGAGACTTCCCCCGCAGCCAGCCAATCGCCAAGCACCCGAGACGCAGAACATTCCCGAAGCTTCCAGCTCGAGAGAGCGCCGTCCAATTAGCGGCGGTGGGCTAGTCAATGAAGAGAAGCTTCTCGACGTTTCCAGGCGGAGCTGTCAGTCACGCTGCAGCTTGGCCAATCAGTGCTTCGAGGGGGCGGGGTTAAGCGCTGGACGAGTCTAGAATTCTTCACAGAGTGACGCAGCGGCTTTGGCGGAAGAAAGAACCATATATGGTAAAAAGTGGGCGGCTCACCCTGCTGGTCAGCCTTCACTTATACGAGTGGTGTAATGTTATAGTCCTATAGGGAGAGGGGTCATTGGATTTAGTTCAGGATCATTGTGCTGTATTTATGCTGAAAGATGACAGCACTTCGTCATGTTATTATGATAGTGACGTGATATTAAACTAGCTTTAGACATATAGAGCTGGAGTGGGCGCACTCCGGCTCTCCAGCTGTTGTGGAACTACAAATCCCATGAATCATTGCAAAATTCTCACAGCCACAGGAATAAAACCCAGAGACAGATGCATCATGGGATTTTTTAGTTTCACCACTAGTGATGGGAAGTTCGGATCTTTCAAATAAATCGGTTCGGCTGACAAGCCAGTGAACCGAAGCTCAGGAGCTGCCTGAGCCTTCATAGAAGATCTGAATCAGAGGACTCTGATTCAGAGAAGGGTGTCAGGCAGCTCCTGGGGTACATTGATCCTAACGATGTCAATAAAGGTGAAACAATGTTAAGTGAAATAAAATAAATAAAAACTAAAACCAAAAATTGTGTATTAAAGAAAAAAAAAACATTTATTTTTTTTGTAAATGTGTAATTATCTGCCCCACTGTAGAGGTCATGGTTGTCGGAACTAAACAAATCCAAGTATCCAGGGGTGTGAAAAACTCAGGACTGGACACTGGAGGGGTAAATAATATCATTAAAAAGGAGGTTTAAATTTATTTTTATGGTATTAAAAAAAGACCGCTCTCTCATTTTATTATATAGCTACTGAATGAGACAGATGTTTCAGAAGGGATGCCTGTACCTTTAACATATATATATATAAATATATATATCTCCTTGAGAAGCCAATTTGATCCTAAAGGGTTAAACCATAAATCTG